TCATTCTTTATGATGGAAGCATAGAATTCCATTGTGTATACATACCACATTTTCTTGATCCATTTGTCTACTGAAGGGCATCTGGGTTAATTCCATATCTTAGCTATGGCAAATAATGCTGTGGTCGGAAGCCAGGCGCTGGTGGCTCACGCCTGTAATCCTAGCTACTCAGGAGGCTGAGATCTGAGGATCGCGGTTCAAAGCCAGCCCTGGCAGGAGAGACCGTGAGACTCCTATCTCCAATAAACCACCAGAAAACCGGAAGTGGCACTGTAGCTCAAGTGGTAGAGTGCTCGCCTTGAGCTGAAGAGCTGAGGGACAGCGCCTAGGCCCAGAGTTCAAGCCCCATGACCGACCAAAAAAAAAAAAAAATAATAATAATGCTGTGGTAAAGATAGCTGTTCTGGTAGCATTAGTATGGCCATAAAGATCTTTTTATTGTTTTAAAAATTGGCACATTCTCAAAATTTTTACTTTATTTGCTTTTTTTTTTTTTTGGTTGGTTATGGGGCCTGAACTCTGGGTCTGAGTGCTGTCCTTCAGCTCTTCAGCGCAAGGCGAGCGCTCTACCACTTGAGCCACAGCGCCACTTCCGGCTTTTTTCTTTTTGCTTATGTGGTGCTGAGGAATCGAACCCAGGGCCTCATGCATGCAAGGCAAGCGCTCTACCATTTAGCCACTTTCCCAGCCCAGTTTTTTTTTTTAATTTTATTGTAAAGGTGATATATAGAGGGGTTGCAGTTACACGTCAGATAATAAGTGCCCTTCTTTTATTTATTTTTTTTTGGGGGGTCCGGTCGTGGGGTCTGAACTCTGGGCCTGGGCGCTGTCCCTCAGCTCTTCAGCTCAAGGCTAGCGCTCTACCACTTGAGCCATAGCACCACTCCATCTTTTTTTTTCTGCTTATGTGGTGCTGAGGAATGGAACCCAGGGCCTCATGCATGCAAGGCAAGCGTTCTACCACTGAGCCACCTTCCCAGCCCAGTGCCCTTCTTTTAGAATACCTCTTCCCTCCTTTTCTCCCAGTTTTTTCCCTCCTGATCACCCCTGACCCCAGGTTGTAGAGTTCATCCTCAACATAGTGTCGAGAGTATCACTGTGGAATTAGTTCACCCTTTGTCTCACCATTTCTGTGTGATTTCATTTTAAAACTTGTAAACTTCAAAGCTTTCAAATGTTATAAATTTAGTAATAACTAATAAACTGTGTTCATTTTGTTAAGGTAAATTTCTCTATCCACAAATGTTATTCAAATTTATTATCTCCCTTGTCTCTTAACTGTGTTATCTAAACCTGTAAATAAATATACTCCTGAACTCACTCCATTATAAGTTTCCTTCCTGTCCATGTTCCACCTTTCAATGCATCCTTGTTATATGAGCAGTTTAACTTTTCTAAAACACAAGTTTCATTATACCAGTCTCTCACTCAAAACCACCAAGTGAAAATGCGTGGAATGAATAGTAGGAAGTAGTGTGAAGCCAACTGATGTTTATCCTTTGAATTTCAAGTGAGAAGTTTTTTTTTTTTTTTTTTTTTGGGGGGGGGGGTCCGGTTGTGGGGCTTGAACTCTGGGCCTGGGAACTGTCCCTCAGCTCTTCAGCTCAAGGCTAGTGCTCTACCACTTGAGCCACAGCACCACTTCTGGCTTTTTTCTTTTTGCTTATGTGGTGCTGAGGAATCGAACCCAGGGCCTCACACATGCAAGGCAAGCACTCTACCACTGAGCCACCTTCCCAGCCCCTCAAGTGGGAAGTTTTTAAAGAGGATATTCATGAGATAAAGGACATTGTTTTTATCCATTCATGCCAGTAAGAGTGGACAGGTAAATTAGAGATAATGGAGATGAATCCGGGTGATCAACTGTTGAGAATCAGTTATACTGTGCTGAAAAGTGAAAGTCTTTTTTTTAAATAATTTAGACTGCCGGGCCGGGCTGCCTCAGCACCACATAAGCAAAAAGAAAAAAGCCAGAAGTGGCACTGTGGCTCAAGTGGTAGAGGGCTAGCCTTGAGCTGAAGAGCTGAGGGACAGTACTCAGGCCCAGAGTTCAGGCCCCATGACCGGACCCCCCCCCCCCCCAAAAAAAAAAAAAACGTTTCTGTGTCAACCTTGCAAGAACAGTAAATGTAAAAAAGAGTTACTGGGAGTATGAAGGAAATGTTTTTATGTATAATTCTTTGGTAATAGTTGGATGCCGGTGGCTCACGCCTATAATCCTAGCCACTCAGGAGGCTGAGATCTGATGATCATGGTTCAAAGCCAGCCCCAGGCAAGAAAATGAACGAGACTCTCATCTCCAAATAACCACCAGAAAACCAGAAGTGGTGCTGTGGCTTAATGTGGTAGAGTACTCGCTTGAGTGCAAGAGCTCAGGAACACCACCACCACCAAAAATTCCTTGGTAATAACTATCACAAAGACCCAAAACCACAAGCTTGCATGAAACCCACAGAAACCACATGGAAAAGTACATTTATAACCATAACATCTTTTTTGTTTTTTTGCAATGGGACTTAAACTCAGGCCAGAGAAGCTGTCCATGATTCTTTTGCTCAAGGCTAGGGCTCTACTACTTTGAGCACAGCTCCACTTCTTGTTTCCTGATAGTTAATTGGAGATAAGAGTCTCACAGACTCTTCTGCCCCATCTGGCTTTGAATTGTGATCCTCAGATTTCAGCTTCCTGAGTAGCTAGGATTACAGGCATGAGCCACTAGTACTTGGCTCTTAGCATTCTTGTTATTTATTGGAGACCACTGTTCTCCCTAAGCAAGGCTGAAAGTACTTGACAGTGCAAAAGTACAATGTCAAGAATGCCTACAAGACAAATGTCACTTAGGAAAGGTACAGAGGCATGCGCAGGAAAACAGTGGCCCTGTCTTTTATACTAAACCCATGATCAGAAATAAGAAAATAGATTACTCAAGAATATTATGCCAGCTCAAGTGGTAGAGTGCTTGCCTTGCATGCCTGAGGCCCTGGGTTCGATTCCTCAGCAACACATAAGCAAAAAGAAAAAAAGCCGGAAGTGGCGCTGTAGCTCAAGTGGTAGAGTGCTAGCCTTGAGCTGAAGAGCTGAGGGACAGCGCCCAGGCCCAGAGTTCAAGCACTACAACTGACAAAGAAAAAAAAAAAAAAAAGATGGAGTGTCCCCTCGCTCCTACTCTTTGATTTCTGAGACTGTCTTGTGTATTTCTTTCTCAAACTGTGCTATCCCCTTTCTAGGTACCTGAATACTCTGCAGCACTGGATGCAGCAGTTATTATGACTAAGGATTATTGTTTCAAAATATCTACTGCAATCATCCTCATCTTTGCATTTAAAAACTTTCCCTAGTTCTGCGGTAAAGTACTTGCCTAGGCAGTTCTGGGTTTGGTCCCTAGCACCACTGACAAAAAACAAATTTTCCCTTGTCTCATCATTTTTCAATCAGGCCAGTCTGGGCCACCACACAGTATACTGAATCACTGAAAGAATGTGCTGACCAAAAAAGGACAAATGTTTATTTGATAGACTACTAAGTGGGTGGAGTCAGGAAAACAAGTCATAGAGAAGTCTGTGTCTCCATAGGAATAAGTGCTCGAGGATATATATATGTAGGATATGTATACATATTTTGAGTAGTTACAAGACCCATGTAAGTCATGTTTTTGGTAACACTATGGGTCTTGAGATTCAAATATGAGAAGCATTTCAGGGTGTCTAACGAAAAGGAGATTCTCACAGAGTGAAAATTGTAGCAAGGATTTATTTTAGTATAACTGGGTAAATTAGGGGAAAATGGAGGACACAGTTCTTGCTCCCACACAGGAAGTGGGAGTTAAAGAGTCTAAAAGGCAGTTCTGAACTGTAGTTTTAAACTTTCAGAGCAGTGCTTTTACATTCCAGTCTTTTTGTCAGTCATGGGGCTTGAAATCTGGCCTGGGTGCTCCCTCAGCTCTTCAGCTCAAGGTTATCCCTCTACCACTTGAGCCACAGCACCACTTCCGGTGGCTTTCTGGTGGTTAACTGGAGATGAGAGTCTCCTGCCTGGGCTGGCTTTGAACTGCAATCCTCAGATCTCAGCCTCCTGAGTAGCTAGGATTACAGGAGAGCGCCACCTGCACCTGGCTGTGGTTAAGTCTCCTAGCAAATCTTAATCTTGACCATGGTTCCAAGAGAAGCCTACTCAAAATGCTTGCAGTCTACAGAATTTCCTTTTGTTAGTCTTTCTGGTCATTCCCTCAATCTCTACCCACCCTGGAAGACTTTTTACCATTTTGAAGAGGCAGACAGATTTTAACCTTTCCCCGGTCACTTGTTCTTGTAGTTTAACATCCAGAAGTAGGTGGGATGGGGGTAGATTAACTACCTTTCTTCAACTTTCCTCCTAGTTTCAACTTCTGAGGCTGCCCCTTTTTACATTTAAATAAATTTCCTTTATCTGTCTACGGATAATTTTCTTTATCCTGCCTCAGTATGAGCTTACCCTCCTCCCTCCAACGATACAGTATAATTCTTTGGTTGGTAGACTGTTTTAAAATTAATTTGAATACTTTAGGAAAAAGTTCTGGATTTGTACCTTTTAAAAACACCCGCTTAAAAGTACTTTGTTAAAATTAATTTCAGAGGTCTTTGGATCCAGTTGATTAGAACTTCACCTAGATTCATGTGGATTGTCTCGACAAGATCACCAACACATTCCAAGAGCACACATGAAAACCTTTCAACTTCATTCAGAATCGTAGCCACCATAGAAACTTTCAGGAATGAACATTCATATTCCCTCTACTATAATATTCCCGAAGGGAAAAGCGCCAGATTGCATAACACCTCGACAGCGAGTGAAATGAACCACACAGCCGTCTCATCACCCAACAAGGGTGTTGGCCAGGGTTCTTGAACTCGCCCCCCACTCAGTTGCTAGCCCCGGTTCACATAACTAGGCAGCCAATTGGGCCGTGTGGATGCCGTGCATCCTGGGAGTTGTAGTTTCCGACTCCCTCCTGTAGACTACAAGCTCCACTGAGCGGCTGGAGGACGGTTGCCTGGTGTCACCAGCGAGCCGCAAGTATGGCGGCGGCGCGCGCCGACGGGACTTTGCCTCCGGGAGAAGGTAAGGGGATTCCGCACCCCTGACTTCACGGTTTATTTGGTGGAGCTGTATTAAACAGTCGCCTGATGGAGAGGAGAAGCCTAGGTTTGGAAGAGCAGTTCTGAACCAGTTCTTCGGATGCGGGGCTGTGGGCGTCGCGGAGGCGCGCTGTCTTGTGGGAGTTGTAGTTTCAGCTCGCTATGCAGCCCTGTAGCATTGCGGCGAGCGCTGGGTAGGGGGACTTCAACCCCCAGGAGCCTTCGCGATCCAGGGCACCCCAGTCCCGCGCTCCCCTAGCCTGGCTGGGCGGTGGGTTTCGGACTGCGGTGACCTTTCTGGGACATTTACTTTTGAGTTCCGATGGTGCCCGAGGGAAATTGGCCGGATCTCTCTTTTGCTTCGGCCGTCGCCCTTTCCCCTCCGTTTCTAGAACGTTCCGGAAGCATCACATCAGCTACTGCTCCGTAGACTGCCTGAACTGTTCCTTGGAAGTGGAGGGTGGGCGCGATGAAAGAAAAAATCCGGGGGGTGACCCAGGGTCCGTGGTCTTCCACTCCCTCGTTGTGCGGACCCGGTAGGCCCCGGGTTCGAGTGTGCGCTCTGCTCTGCAGAGCGCGGGCAGCCCGCGCCGTGCGGTCGGCGGGGAGCTCGCTGGGACGCCGGCCGACCCGAGGTCCTTTTGTTTTGGCTACGGGTCGGAGGCTTGGGGGGTCCGGGCTCGCCTCCGCGCCCGGGGCCGACGGTCCGGGAGCCGGGGATCCCTGCAGGAGGAGGTGGCCGGAGGGTGGGAGAGGTGTGTGCACCGCCGTGGCTGGGACGGCGCTCGGGTGCGTGGCGTTCCCCCGGGGCTCGTCACCCCCCTCGAATGCTAGGAGCCCCTACACCCCGCAGAGACGGGGAAAGCCTCCCCGAAGGGGAACCGCACACCCCGGTGTCCCCCCCCTGCCATCCTAATTAGACATTTGAAATTGGCAGTTGCTCTGGCCCCGCCCCCGCAGGGAGCTCCTTTCTTCCCCTTTATCCAGTCGCCTTTCCAGAGTATTCTGAACGCCTTGCTTCTGTGACCTCTCCTTTTACTGGCTTCCCGTGTGGAACATGGATAAGACTGGCATTATCAACATCCTCACTGCAGAAAAGTGAGCCTAAAGGAGTCACTAACTTAGCCCGGCGCCGCTGCCTCACGCCTGTCATCCTAGCTACTCAGGAGGCTGAGATCTGAGGATCCCGGTTCAAAGCCAGCCTGGGCAGGAAACTCCGTGAGACTCTTATCTCCAATAAACCACTAGTGGTGCTGTGGCTCAAATGGTAGAGCGCTAGCCTTGAGCTGAAGAGCTGAGGGACAGCGCCCAGGCCCAGAGTTCAAGGCCCACGATCGACCAAAAAAAAACAAACAAGAACCCCAAAACAACAACAACAAAAAACAACAACTTGCCTAGAATACCACAGTGGTTAATGGCTGCTGCGATCTGAACTACAATGCTTTGTTGAGGGTTGTATGTACATAATTTCTCCTTTAATTCTCACCCCAACCTTAACTGAACTGTAGATTTCGGGCCTTTAGCATATAACCATATTTAAAGTTGATCATTTTCATTAATTTTGTTTGTTTGTTTTTGGTGCTGGTCCTGGGGCTTGAACTCACGGGCTGGACACTGTCTCCCAGCTTTTTTTTTGTTCAAGATTAGTGTCCTACCACTTGAGCCACAGCTTCACTTACATTTTTTTTTGTCAGTCATGGGGCCTGAACTCTGGGCTTGGGTGCTGTCCTTCAGCTCTTCAGCCCCAGGTGAGCGCTCTACCATTTGAGCCTCAGCGCCACTTTTTCTGCTTTTGTGGTGCTGAGGGGTCTCATGCATACAAGGCAAGCACTCTACCACAAAGCCGCCCTCCCAGCCCCCACATCCCGTTTTTTTGATGGTTAATTGGAGATAAGAATCTCATGGATTTTCCTGCCCTGGCTGGCTTTGAATCACCATCCTCCAATAGCCCTCTGAGTAATGAAGATGAGAGGCATGAACCACCAGCAACCAGCTTCACTTCCAGTTTGAAAATGCTGTATTATAAACAAAATATGGAATTATTAGTTCATGCATAAATGTGAACAATATGAAAATATAGAATCATATACCATAGAAACATTTTCACAAATGTTATTTGCTATCTCTAAAGAAAAGTGAGTATATCATCAACCTGTGGTTATTTAGAATTCTAGATGGCTTCAGTCTTAAAAATTTTGATTTTCTGTTTTCTAATTTATGTAGAGATTTTATTCTATCCCTGTGTTCAGCTGCTGTATTTATTTTGTGTTTTCTAACAAATTTTTCTTTTTAAGGATCAGTAGTCAATTGGTCAGGCCAAGGACTACAGAAATTAGGTCCAAACTTACCCTGTGAAGCTGATGTACACACTCTGATTCTGGATAAA